CAGCCGAGCTCCCCGGCCTGGCCGGAGACCCCTGCCCACGGAGCGACAGGTGCTACACAGCCATTCCCTCCTGACAGCGGCACCAGCTGGTGCTGCCCAAGCCTCACCCCTCAAAGTGCGGCTCCTCATGCCCGCATGGGCGTGTTTGCGGGTCCTCATGACAGCGGGGCCTGGCGATGCGCCGAGCGGCGCTGCCCTGGGGCAACCTAGCAGGACTGGCAGAGCCTGTCTTCATAGTGTGCAGAGGGAGGGCTCCCAATCAGAGCTGGGGGCCCCGTATCCCCTTCCCTCCCCCGCTCAGACCTATGGGCTCCCCTCACCTGGTACCTCTCCTCCCCACCACCCCAAATCAGACCAGGGAGCCCACGGAGGGATAGAGGGGTGTGTAAGGGGATGGATTAGATTAGATTAGATAGTGTGTATGGGGATGGATGGGTGGATATTGTGTATGGAGATTGATGGATGGATGGATGGAGTGTATGGGGACAGAGAATGGATGGAGTGATGGATGGATGAATGGGGATAGAGAATGGATGGAGAGATGGAGGGATGGATGGGGACAGAGGATGGATGGAGGGATGGATGGATGGATGGAGTGTATTGGAAAAGAGGAGGGATGGAGGGATGGATGGAGTGTATGGGGACAGAGAATGGATGGAGTGATGGATGGATGAATGGGGATAGAGGATGGATGGAGGGATGGATGGATGGAGTGTATTAGAAAAGAGGATGGATGGATGGCGTGTATGGGGACAGAGGATGGATGGAGGGATGGATGGAGTGTATGGGGACAGAGAATGGATGGAAGGACGGATGGGGACAGAGGATAGATGAAGGGATGGAGGGATGGATAGGGTCAGAGGATAGATGGAGGGATGGATGGGGACAGGGATGGATGGAGGGATGGATAGGGACAGAGGATAGATGGAGGGATGGATGGGGACAGAGGATGGATGGAGGGATGGATGGATGGAGGGATGGAGAGGGATGGATTTCAGCCCTAGGAAATAGCCCGGCTCCCTCATACCAGCTCCAGTCAGTGCAGAGCCCCCTCCCAATTAATTATTCTTAAGCCCGGAAGCCAGGGTGAGGGCTGGAGATGGGGCAGAGGGGAGCAGGGCCCAAGGTGTGTGTGTGGGGGGGGGGAACAGGGCCCAGTGGTATCAGTTGTCCTGCCTGCCTGGGCCAACAGCCCTTGGCACTGAGCACCGGGCCAGGGGACCCTAGGGAGGCTGGGGGGGTGCTGGCAACTGATGAATGTGGCGTGGCTTGTAACTAGGCCGGACTTCGGCTGGTTGCCATGGTAACCAGCTGAGCCATTGTTCTGTTGCAAGGGGGAACACCACGGAAGTTTCTGGGTTACACGGGGCATTGTTGTTGTGGGGGGGGGGGTCATGTACTGATGCCCCCACCCCCTTCCCCAAGGGCCAAAAGGCAGCAGTGCAGACAGGACAAATTCTGTTGCTGGTGTAAATCCGGAGTAACTGCGTGAGGCCAGACTCATGCCAATGGAGCGAAGGCCAATTGACACCAGCTGGGGATCTGGCCCCATTGACTTCAAGACAGTTACTCTGGTGCAACTGAGAGCAGAATCGGGCCCTTACTCTGGATTTATATTGCCGGTCAAAAAACATCCCAAGGTGCTTGTAGCCTGGGATCAAGTCACCCCGTCACCTTCTCTTTGGTAAAGTAGCTCCTGGAGTTGGTCACTACCAGGCAGGTTTTCTAACCCTCTGATCCTTCTCGTGGCTCTTCTCTGACCTCTCTCCAATTTATCCACATCCTCCTTGAATGGTGGGCACCAGAACCGGACACAGGATCCCAGCAGCGGTCGCACCAGGGCCAAACACAGAGGGGAAAGAATTTCTCTGCTCCTACGCGAGATTCCCCTGTTTATACAGCCCAGGATCGCATTGGCCCTTTCAGTCCCAGCGTCGCACTGGGGGCTCCTGTTCCGCTGATTATCCACTCCGGCCCCCAAATCTTTTTCAGAGTCATGGCTTCCCAGGAGAGAGTCCCCCAGCCTGTCCATCTAGCTCATTCTTTGTGCCTAGATGTCTCTATTGAGCCCAAGCCGTCCTCAAACACATACCGGGTGCTTGTGCCCAGTTTCCCAAGCGATCCGGATCGCGCTGAATCAGTGACGTGTTACCTTGTATTTACTCCCCCGCCCCGATCTTTGCGTCATCTGCCAACTTCATCAGTGACAATGTTACAGTTTCTATGTGGATAAAAAGGTAAAATAGCGCAGGGCCCCTGTGATAAATGAAGGGGGGGATAGCTCCCTTTTATGGAGCCCCAGCCAGCCAAAATCCCTGTTAGTAGCTGTTCTCTACTTGCTTTACCCGTAAAGGGTAAAAAAAGCCCATAGGTAAAAGGAAGGGAGTGGGCACCTCACCAAAAGAGCCAATGGGAAGGCTAGAACTTTTTTAAATTGGGAAAAAACTTTCCCTTTGTCTGCGTGTTGTTCTCCGGAGAGAGGAGACACAGAGCTGCAATGCAGTAAGAAGCTTTAAACCAAGTATGAAAAATCATCAAATCATACCTCGAACTTACTTACCTGAAACCCCAGATATGTAAGCAGATCAGGGAATGTCTAGGAAGACGCGATTAGGTTTATCTCTTTTATTTCTTTATGGCTTGTGGACTTCTCTATGCTAACCCCAGGGGCTTTTGTTTTGCTTGTAACCTTTAAGCTGGACCTCAAGAAAACCATTCTTGATGCTGAATTATTATATTTGCTCTTTTTTAAAACTAGCAATAGCCTATGTGCCAGATGTATTTTCTTCCTTTTTGTTTTTTTAATAAAATGTACCTTTTTTTAAGAACAGGATTGCGTTTTTGTGTCCTAAGAGGTTTGTGCACATTGTTTAATTAGCTGGTGGCAACAGCTGGTTTCCTTTGTTTTCTTTCTCAGCTCTTCCCCAGAGTGGGGATTAAAGGGGGGGGAGGGGTAGCTCAGTGGTTTGAGCATTGGCCTGCTAAACCCAGGGTTGTGAGTTCAATCCTTGAGGGGGCCGTTTAGGGAACTGGGGCAAAAACTGGGGATTGGTCCTGCTTTGAGCAGGGGGTTGGACTAGATACCTCCTGAGGTCCCTTCCAACCCTGATATTCTATGATTCCATGAAAGGGTTTGAGGGCACCCCACAGGGAGGAATTCCCAAGTGCGCCTTCCTGGGTCCAAAGGGGTTTTTTTGCATTTGGGTGGTGGCAGCATCTACCCATCCAAGGTCAGAGAGAAGCCCTAACCTTGGGAGCTTAATACAAGCCTGGAGTGGCCGGCATTAATTTTTACAATCCTTGCGGCCCCCCACCTTCTGCACTCAGAGTGCCAGAGTGGGGAATCAGGCTTCACAGCCCACACTGGAAACAGACCCGCTCAGTGACGATTCCCCGTTTACGGTTACATTTTGAGACCGATCAGCCAGTTCTGTGTGTGTGTGTGTGTGCGCTTGCTAGCGTGTGTATATATGTTTGTTCCTGCCGCCCCCTACTGGAGGGAACGAGCCCTGCTCTGTGTGTGTGTGTGTGTCAGTGAGCCCCTGCAGGGTGGGCCCTGCTGTGTGTGTGTGTGTGTGTGTGTGTCCCTGCTGCCCCCTGCTGGGAGGGAACGAGCCCCGCTCTGTGCGTGTGTGTGAGAGTGTGTCCCTGCTACCCCTGCTGGAGGGGATGAGCCCTGCTCTGTGTGTGTGTGTGTGTGTGTGTGTGTGTCCCTGCTGCCCCCTGCTGGGAGGGAACGAGCCCTGCTGTGTGTGTGTGTGTGTGAGTGTGTCCCTGCTGCCCCCTGCTGGGAGGGAATGAGCCCCGCTCTGTGTGTGTGTGTGAGAGTGTGTCCCTGCTACCCCTGCTGGAGGGGATGAGCCCTGCTCTGTGTGTGTGTGTGTGTGTGTGTGTTAGACCCTGCAGCCCCCTGCTGGGGGGGAAGGGTCCTGCTGTGTGTGTGTGTGTGGTGTGTGTGTGACCCTGCTGCTCCCTGCTGGAGGGGATGAGTCCTGCTCTGCGTGTGTGTGTGTGTGTGTGTGTGTGTGTGTGAGAGAGAGCGAGAGAGACCCTGCTGCTCCCTGCTGGGGGGGATTGGCCCTGCTGTGTGTTTGTGTTTGTGTGTGTGTGTGTGTGTGTCCCTGCTGCCCCCTGCTGGGAGGGAATGAGCCCTGCTCTGTGTGTGTGTGTGTTAGACCCTGCAGCCCCCTGCTGGGGGGGATGAGCCCTGCTGTGTGTGTGTGTGTGAGAGAGAGAGAGAGAGAGAGAGAGAGAGAGAGAGAGAGGGACCCTGCTGCTCCCTGCTGGAGGGGGATTGGCCCTGCTGTGTGTGTGTGTGTGTCTGTGTGTGTGTGTGAGAGAGAGAGACCCTGCTCTCAGAGACAAGCACTCTACTAGCCAATCTCGTCCCCGCCCCCCAATCACCGCTGCCCCCTGAAACCCCTCCGCCCAGAACTGCAAATCCCCAGCTCCTGGCTGTGGAGAGACAGCAGGGCGCGGCTCACGCAGGCTGGGGGGGCTGCCCTGTGAGTAGCTGGGGGGGGCTCAGTAGGGGCGCTCTCCCTTGGAATGCAGCGCCAGGCTGGAGAATGGGGGTATCCCCCGGAGTACAGGCCGGGTGAGCTCCCCCATCCACCCAGCCCAGCCCAACCCTGGAGGGACCCTCTCCAGGGGCGAGAAGTGGGGGTTCACGCTCACCTCCAATTTCCCATCTCAGCCAACATGAAATAGAGACTAGGGCCTGGCAAGGGCGGGAGGCAGGAGGGGATGAGTGGGGTGGGCCCCGAGGGCTCACCCTACAGCTCCGCACAGGGAGGGGGGCATCTCTGCTAGGCCCAGGCCATGGGAGGGGGGAGTTCAGAACTGAGAGCAGGTGAGGGGTAGCAGCATTAGCCCCCCAGCAGGGACAGACCCAGGCAGTGATGGGGGGAGGGGCAGACCCAGGCAACACTGGAGGGGCCAGGGTTACCCCCCCCCCCCTCAAGCAGGGACAGACCTCAGACATGGACCAGACACCCAGGTTGGGTCCCAAGTGGTTTATTTGCTTCCCGGCCAGTCGCTGGGGGAGGGGGGTGTCCCGGGCCCGGTGGAGTCGGGGGGGATCTGCGCCCCCCCCACCCCCTAGCGGAAGAAGGCCAGCCGTTCCCGCAGCCACTCCTCGGTCAGGTCCTCTGTGGTCCGGATCTCGAACACCTGGGGGGCGGGGGGAGAGGTGGATGGAGCTGGGGTGGGCATTAAGGCGGGGTCCTCCAGAGCGGAGCCTCGATCCAGGGGTGTGGATGCTGAATGGGGGAGCAGTAAATCCCAGCTTTGGGGGGGGGGTACCGATCCCAGCTATAGGGGCTGGGGGATCCCATCTACGGGGCAATCCAGGGATGGTCCTGGCTAGGTCCCAGGTATGAGGGCAGGTCCCCGTCAGATGGGTGGGAGGCCCCCAGGGCGAGGAAGCGATAAGACCCCCATGCCCTAGGGCAGCCCCCCGGCCCTGGGACAAGGCAGAGCAGGGTGCAGGGGAGGGGAAAGCGGCAGCCCCTTCCAACGTGGGCCAGAGGGGAGGGGTTGGGTAGCCCACCCAGCCCCAGCATGGGTATGTGGCCGGCAGCTTGGGTGAGGGGGCTATGGGGTGCCGGTGCTGCCCATGGGAAGAGCCCGAAAGGGCATCACTGCCCTGGTACCTTGGTGAGCTCAGCTGTCTGCACCAGCCTGTTTTTGCTCCCAGCATACATCATCTGCTGCTCCGGCTTGCACCCTGCCCCATGGGGAGAGACAGAGATAGAACCCAGGAGTCTTGGTGCCCAGCTCTAACCACTAGACCTCCCTCCCCTCCCAGCACTGGGATTGAACCCAGGAGTCCTGACTCCCAGCCCCCCTGCTCTAACCACTAGACCCCACTCCCCTATCAGAGCTGGGATAGAACCCAGGAGTCCTGGCTCCCATCCCCACCCCGCCCTAACCACTAGACCCCACTCCCCTCCCAGAGCTGGGAGAGAGCCAACGCGCCCCCCCCCCCCCCCCCCCCCCCCCCAACCCCTAAACCCCACTCCCCTCCCAGAGCTAGGGAGAGAACCCAGGAGTCCTGGCTCCCAGCCCCCCTGCTCTAACCACTAGACCCCACTCCCCCTGGTTCTCACCGACGGGGCTGGAGAAGATGAAGCAGAGCGGGTAGGAGATGCGCCCGTCATCATGGACGTATTTATAACTGTACACCACAAAGGTAGCCCCAGTCAAGGAGGCAGCTGCTTCTCGGCTGAGCTGGGCCACACTGAAATGCTCCTGTCTCTATCCTTCTCCATCTCTTCACCCTCCTGGCTCGTCCTGCCCCCGCCCTGATACCTGCTCCGGGCTGCCCCCACCCATGTCAGCCCTGCCAGCTGTCAGACACATTGGGATCTCCCAGGACCCCAGCCCTGCAGGGCCCGGGGCGGGTTGGCCCAAAGCCTGAAGCTCTGGGGCACCTGCCCAGCCTCCCACCACACTGCAGAGCCACAAGCAGGGGGGCTGTGGGGTACACCCCCCACAAGAGGGGCTCATTTTCCTCTCCCTCTCTGCGCTGCCCCCTGCTGCTCTGATCCCCTGGCTGCTCCCTGCAGCCCCCTCTGATCTCAAATCTGCTCCAAGCTGGGGACAAGGGACATTTTCCCCTGCCCACAGCCCAGGCACCCCTCCTCTCCCGGGGGCGAGGATGATCCCAGGGGACCCCCACACACACACATCCCTCATGCATACTCCTGGCATCCTGCCACCATGTGCGAGGCCCGTGCCCCGCCAGCTGGCTCGGATGCCCCCTCCCCGCCCCACGGCAGAAGGATATCGGGGCTGGCGCTCTGGCAGCTCGCTCTTCAGCTCCTCCGGAGAGATGTCCTGTGGGAGAGACGCCAAAGGCTGCATCAACTAAGGGGGATGGCAGAGCGAGGAAGAGGACGAGGAGGCTCCCTGTCACCCACATTGTACAGATGGGGAAACTGAGGCACCGAACAGGGCAGGGACTTGACCTAGGTTGCCCAGCAAGTCAGTGGCGGAGCCAGATGTGGAACCCAGGAGTTCTGACTCCGGTCCCTGCCTGGCAAAGTGGTTAGAACAAAGCAAGTCCTGGGAGCCAGAACTCCTGGGTTCTTTCCCCAGATCTGGGAAGGGAGGGGAGTCTAGCAGGTCACAGCAGCGGGGGATGGGAATCAGGACTCCTGGGTTCCACGCTCAGCTCTGGGAGGAGAGTGGGGGCTAGCGGTTAGAGCGGGCGGGGGGCTGGGAATCAGGACTCCTGGATTCTCTCCCAAGCTGGGCGGCGGTAGGAGGGGTGGCCCAGTGGAAGGGCAGGAAGGGCCACTCCTTACACAGGACAACAGGGAGCCGGGAGGTTCCTGCCGCTGCCAGGGCACAGACCCAGAGGCGAGGGGCAACGCTGGTGCGCAGAGGAACTGCTTTTGTGGCATTTTGCCGTCTGGAGACAGACTCTGGGGTGCTGCTGCTCCCCCAGAGACACGCCAAGGTCCTGGATCAACAGCTGAGCTCACGGCTGAAAGGTGCATCAGAGCCATTGAGGGAAATCTTGAGGGAAACGGAGCCATGGATTTAACAGTTTAACAGGGAAGGGAATCCAAGGTCGGGGTGGATTCTCCATCACAGACCATCTTTAAATCCAGACGGGATGTTTTCCTTAAAGCTCTGCTCTAGGATTATTCGGGGGAAGTTCTTTGGCCTGTGTTATCCAGGGGGTCAGACTAGATGGTCACCATGGTTCCTTCTGGCCTTGGAATCTCTAAATAAAGAATTTACTCCACTAACTGATAGCAATAGTAAGTTGCTTCCTTTTATATAGACCAGCCAGCCGAGGGGAGAAGAATGGGTCATATAGACAGTGAACCTGATCTGAAACCAATGGGAGAAACTGGTGGCAAGAGGCAGTATGGTCTAATGGGCAGGGTGCTGGGATGCAGGACACCAGGCTTTTGTGAGTCATGGCCCTGCTCTGTGCCTCAGTTTCCCTTTCTGTGCGGCTAAAGATATTGCCCTCACCGGTGTAAAGTGACCTTCATTCTCCTCTCATCAGAGACAGTGAGCGCTTTGGGGACTGGACTTTCTATGCGTTTCTTACATACAGCACCTAGATAACGGGGCCCATGCAGTTGGTTCGGGGTCAGTCCTAGTTCTCGGGGCGGGATCTAACTCAGGCTTCGTAGTCTCCACGGTGCGTTTGACCTCAGCGCTGCAGCAATCCCTTGTTCCAGTGCAGCGAGCCGGAAACTGTGGCAGCTTCATTCAGGTTGTAAAAACCGCAGGCTCGGATCGAATTAAGTATGAAACCGACTGGTGCGCGCCGTGGCACCTCCCCGGGGCTCTTTCATTCAAGGGTAAATTCAATTTCTACTCCTCCTGCCCGCGTGGGTTCTCGACGCGCTGCCGGAGCGTCGCATGCAGCCAGGCAGGGAACTCAGAACGCAAACCACTGTTTGGAAAGAGAGCAGGGTTCCTTTCGGGGCCACGTGCCCCCCCGTCCCCCCCGCCACAAGGGCAGGGCACTCGACCTTAGAGGGCAAGATGCAGGGAGAGTGAAAGTGTGTGTGTGTGTGTGTGTGTGTGCACACGCTGCCCCCTGCTGGAGCAATGGGCACCTGCTCTGCGTGTCTGTGAGCGTGTCCTCTGTCCTTGTCCCTGCTGGAGGGGATGAGCCCTGCTCTCTGTGTGTCTGCCGCCCCCTGCTGGAGCAATGGGCACCTGCTCTGCGTGTGTCCCTGCTGGAGGGATGGGGACCTGGGTGCATGTGTGAGTGTGTGTCTGTCTGTCCCTGCCGCCCCCTGCTGGAGGGCATGACCCCTGCTCTGTCTGTCTGTCTGTCCGTCCCTGCCTCCCCCTGCTGGAGGACATGACCCCTGCTCTGTCTGTCTGTCTGTCCGTCCCTGCTGCCCCCTGCTGGAGGGGATGAGCCCTGCTCTCTGTGTGTCTGCTGCCCCCTGCTGGAGCAATGGGCACCTGCTCTGCGTGTGTCCCTGCTGGAGGGATGGGGACCTGGGTGTATGTGTGAGTGTGTGTCTGTCTGTCCCTGCCGCCCCCTGCTGGAGGGCATGACCCCTGCTCTGTCTGTCTGTCTGTCTGTCTGTCTGTCCCTGCCGCCCCCTGCTGGAGGGGATGACCCCTGCTCTGTCTGTCTGTCTGTCTGTCTGTCCCTGCCGCCCCCTGCTGGAGGGGATGACCCCTGCTCTGTGTGTGTGTGTGTGTGTGTGTGTCCCTGCCGCCCCCTGCTGGAGGGGATGACCCCTGCTCTGTGTGTGTGTGCGTGTGTGTGTGCATGTGCGCACTGCCCCCTGCTGGAGCAATTGACACCTGCTCTGTGTGTGCGTGAGAGCCTGAGAACGCTGCCCTCTAGTGGAGACAATCAGACTGCCACCTCCACACCCCATACTCCCCTATGGTGCTTACAAGGTTGCTTCCCTAGCCCCCGTGGCAAGGGGGCTGGGTTTTGAAGCAAGAGGAGCTGGGTTCTAGCCCCGCGGGCGCCATGGGAGCTCTGCGGCACAGTGGCATCTGGGAGGAGCTAGGCACAGGTCTGCTGCCCGCGGGGCCTTTAACCTAACTGAGCTTTCCAAAGGTAGCTGGAAGACGGGCGTGAAAGGTCCCCACCTGGAATTCCTCCTCCAGCACCACCAGCTGCCGCTCCTTGTCAATCTTCACTGGGGAGAGAAGACGGAGCGAGGGTCATGATCTGCACAGGGGCCACCTCCGCCAGCAGGTACCTGAGCAGCGCGGCCTTCCCCTCCGGGACTCTGAACGATCCCCAGCCAGCGCTCCGGCCCTGCTCCCCACAGCACCCCCTGCTGGGACAGGCCAGAGCTGGAGTAGCCGGGGGCTCCCCGCATAGCCAGCGCTTCTGCCCCGCTCCCCACAGCGCCCCCTGCTGGGAGAAGCTGGCCCCAGCGGCTGTCCAGGGCACAGGCTGAGCGGAAGATCCACCAAGGCGAGCGACACTGGGGGTCAGGGAGACGGAGAAGGGCCGGGGATCGTGCCCCTGGGGAGGGAGCCGGCCCGGGGACACTCACTGAGGATGGCCGCGTTGTTGGTTTCCTTCCGGAAGCGGAATTTCCTCAGCTTCTCCTTGAGCGCGGGGTCCACATCGCACACGACCAGGGAGTCCGACTGCAGAGAGACTGGCCGTGAGAGGGGGCTGGGGCAGCCTGGCTCCCTGCAGGACCCCCCCAGCCCCAACCTGGAGGGGCGGGGAGCTGTCCCCCACAGCCAGCGTTCCTGCCCTGCACCCCACAGCACCCCCTGCTGGCAGAAACTGGGAGCTCTGCCCCACAGCCAGCATTCCTGCCCTGCACCCCACAGCGCCCCCTGCTGGGACAGGCCAGGCCTGGAGTAGCCCAGGGTTGTTGCCGAGGAAACAGCCTCCTCCTGCCCATCGTGAAGCGTACACCGCTCTGGCAGAGCCCTGCCCAGTTGCAGGGGACGCGCCATGCCCGGGGCGCAGGGAAGGGAGAGCTCACGCGCATGTAGGTCGCTGCCCCTTTGTGGTGGGGAAGGGAGGGGGCAGCCATCGTGGTTGTGGGCCCAAAACGTTTCATCGTCTGTTCAGCTGAGACCCACCAGCTGAGAAGTGCACACGCGCACGCCTCCCACCCCCCACCCCTCCACACACATGGTCAATCTCACACACACACACACACACACACAGAGACTCACAAACACCCACACACCCATTGTCACATAGACACAGATGCCCACCCATTGTCACACACAGCCACTGTCACACCCACACTCATTGTCACACACAGCCATTGTCACACACACAGACACTCACACCCATTGTCACACATATAGCCCTTGTCACACATACACACACACAGTCACACACAGAGAGACTCCCCATTGTCACAACACCCATTGTCACACACACAGAGACTCACACCCATTGTCACACACCCAGCCATTTTCACACACATCTATTGTCACACCCACACCCACACACATTGTCACACACATACTCATTGTCACACACACACACACACCCCGTGTCACATACACAGCCATTGTCACACACACTCACACCCATTTCCACACCCAGTCACACAGATCTTTGTCACACCCACACCCACACACATTTCACACACATACTCATTTCACACACACACACACACCCCGTGTCACATACACAGCCATTGTCACACACAGAGAGACTCACACCCACTGTCACCCAGAGCCATTGTCACACCCACACCCATTGTCACACACCCCATTATCTCTCTCACACACACTCATTGTCACACAGACTCACACCCATTGTCACACACAAGGCCATTGTCACACACAGACTCACAGCCATTGTCACACACCCAGCCTCACACCCACATAGAGGGTGGGGATGGGGATGGGTTGATACACAGATGACAGGTGAAGAAACTCTCCTGTACCCAGCCACTTTTCCCAACCGCCTTTGACCCCAGGGTCGTGGGGGGCGCCCGGGATAGCCATCAAATGCTGGCACCCTGCTAAGCGCCTGTTCTCCCGCCTCCCCCAGAGGAGTCCGGTGGGCAGTTTCCCCACCCCACAGGCTGCTGCCCGGCATCCCCGGGCACAGGTACCTTTTCTGCGCCTCCCACCCCAGAGACATTGCGGGTGCCACGCGGCACCGCTGAAACCTCGGCGCTTGCAAACCCCTCTTGGCTGCAGGGTGCGGGGCCCAGAGCTGCCACCCATGGGCACGTGGCCTCCCGCCTTCCCACCCCAGCCCCTTGGAGCGAAAGACTCAATTCGGACATGCCCCGAATCCCAGATCCAAGCTTTGCAGGGGAGCTGGGGAGTGGGGACACGCAACACCTGCTCCACAAGGAACCCCCTGCCTCCAATGCACCCCCCCCCGCCTCCCTTCCTGACCCCCTCGGCGTGACGCAGTGCTCGGCCTGACCATTCTGCCACGATCTCTGCCCTCCCAGCGCCGGGCGGCCTGACTCTCGGCTTTCCTCGCTGCAAGTTGGGCTGGCGCTGACCTTGTGACAGGATGCTCAGAGAGCAGTTCCTCCGGTCGGGGACACTCTCACAGCACTGATCTGCTGGGGGAAGAGGGGGAAGTGTGGGGGTGGGGGAGGGCAGGGCAGGTTTGGCCATGTGTGGAAAGAGGAAGGGGTTTGCCTTCCAAGGGCCAAAGGGGGAAGGGAACGGTGGCAAGGGGAGCGGGGGGAAGACAGCGCAAAGGGCGACTGGGAAGTAAAAGGGCAGAGGGGGCCTGGCACAGCCCCAGGGCGCTCACAGATCTCCCCGTGTACCACCACATCCTGTTTTGGATGAGTTGAACCAACGGCCACCTGCCCCGCCCCCCCCCATCCCTGCCACCACCACTCCCTGCCAGCTTCACACGAGATGCACGCAGGTCACACGGCTTCCGCTGTGCCCTGCGCCTTGCACGCACCTTTACACCAGGGCAACGTGGTCAATCAACCACCGACAGCCACCCCTGCCACTGAAAGGGGGATTGCACCAGGCATAGCCTAGGACCCAGTCACACAGTTCGATCTTGTAGGTGTGTTGTGGGAGAGACTAGAGGCCCTGGCTGCGATCAGGGATTGTGCCAGGCGCTGCACAGATCCAGACGGAGATCAGGGCCCCGTTGTGCCAGGCGCTGCACAGATCCAGACAGAGATCAGGGCCCCGTTGTGCCAGGCGCTGCACAGATCCAGACGGAGATCAGGGCCCCGTTGTGCCAGGCGCTGCACATATCCAGACCGAGACCAGGTTAGCTCTGTAATTCCTGGGTTTAGACGTTTACGGTTGAAATGAAAGCCGCTCGGCGCTTCCTGGAGAGGTTTGAGTTTTGCTGAACTCGGTGTTCTGGATGGCCCGAGCTGACTCCAGGCAGCCTTCCCTCTGCGTTAACAAGAAATTATTTTGTCAGGGATTTTAGCTGCACTTGAGCCACCTCCAAAGAGACAATAGCTAACCCGGGGGGGGGGGAAAGGCTCCGCGGGGCTGATATTGCTACAGCTCTCGGGATTTAGTGACCCCCCCGGTACAGCCCTGCTGGTCGATTTCCTCGCTGACGCTAGCTGTAAGTGTCTAGGCCTCATGGTCACAGGGAAAAGCTTGGACATGTGACCCCCCGCCCCCCCAGGCTCCAGGGCAGAGGAAGGCCAGACGTTGACTGATTGATTGATTTCAAAAACTCTCGTGATTTTGAAGCCAGTCTCGTGATTTGTGAATGTTTGGGTTGGGCAAAGGAGAGAGGAGGGGGAGACAGGAGAGGGGAGGATAAGGAGTGGGGTGGGGGTGGTGGGAGGGAAGAGTTGGGGAAGGGGAAGAAAGAAAGAGGAGGGGAGGACGGTGCCACAGGGCAAAGGGAGGAGTAAGGGGATAGGAGGGGGAGGAGCTGGGGGAAAGGGGAGGGGCGGAAGGAGAGAGAGGGGGAAGGGAGGGAGGGGAGGAGTAAGGGGATGGGAGAGGGAGGGAGGGGCAGGAGGTGGAGGAGTTGGGAGGGGAGGAGTAAGGGGATGGGAGGGACAAGAGAAAGAGGAGGGGCAGAAGGAAAGGGGGAGGGGCAGGAGAAAGGGGCGGGGTGGAAAGAGGGGGAAGGGTAGGAGATGGGGTGGGCGGAGGGAGGGGGAAGGGGCAGGAGAAAGGGGCAGGGCAGAAGGAGGGGGGAAGGGCAGGAGAAAGGGGCGGGGCGGAAGGAGGGGGAGGGCAGGAGATGGGGCGGGGCGGAAGAAGGGGGAGGGGCAGGAGAAAGAGGTGGGGTGGAAGGAGAGGGAAGGGTAGGTTATGGGGTGGGCGGAGGGAGGGGGAAGGGGCAGGAGAAAGGGGCGGGGCAGAAGGAGGGGGAAGGGCAGGAGAAAGGGGCAGGATGGAAGGAGGGGGGGCAGGAGAAAGGGGCGGGACGGAAGGAGGGGGGGCAGGAGATGGGGCGGGGCAGAAGGAGGGGGAAGGGCAGGAGAAAGGGGCGGGGCGGACGAAAGGGGAGGGGCAGGAGAAAGGGGCGGGGCGGAAGGAGGGGGAGGGGCAGGAGAAAGGGGCGGGGCGGAGGGAGGTAGGGGAGAGGAGAAGAAAGGGGCGGGGGCGGTCTTCGTTCCGCCCAAGCGGACGCTCAAACGCCACAGCCCAGTCTGTTACGTCACCGCGATGCCACCAGGCCATTGGTTGTGGAACCTCGGAGTGACAGGACTGAAAGCCAGTCAGAGTCTCCGAAGCTGAGCCCGAGGCCGAGGTGGGGGCGAGTGTTGCGCATGTGTGCCGTCGTGCGCGCGGGAAGCCACGCCCCACCGAGGGCAGCCGCGAGCTTCTGGTTGGTCCCGGCCGCTGCCACTCGACCTCCCGCAGCCAATGGCGAGGCGGCTGCGCGCTGACGCGTGGCGTGCCGTGCGCGCTGGCGTTGCGCGGTGGGCTACGGTACGGGCGCCTCGGTGTGAGGCTGGCGGGGCCGAGGCCGGGGCCGGACGGGCCGCAGAGACGGTGAGTGTGGGGCGCGTCCCCGTCCCGCGCCTGCTCGGGCCCCTCCCCCCGTTCGGGGCGAGCATCTCCCCTCTGCTGCACCTCGCCCCTCCCCCACCCCGAGCCCGGGGCCCCTCCCCCCTCGGCCCCTCCCCCAGCCAGGGACCCCCCCCCGCCCCGATCCTGGCTTCTCCCGCGTGCTGCACCTCGCCCCTCCCCCACCCCGAGCCCGGGGCCCCTCCCCCCTCGGCCCCTCCCCCAGCCAGGGACCCCCCCCGCCCCGATCCTGGCTTCTCCCGCGTGCTGCACCTCGCCCCTCCCCCACCCCGAGCCCGGGGCCCCTCCCCCAGCCAGGGACCCCCCCGCGCCCCGATCCTGGCTTCTCCCGCGTGCTGCACCTCGCCCCTCCCCCCACCCCGAGCCCGGGGCCCCTCCCCTCTCTCCAGCCCCCCTCCCACACCCAGGGGTCCTCCCGCCCCGCTCCGGGCTTCACCCCCCCCCCCAAAACCAGCCTCCTCCCCTCCCCCCAGATTTCCAACCCCGCCCTGCTCCTGGGATCCCCCTTCCCTCCATCCCAACCAACCCCGCCCTGCTCCGGGCTTCATCCCTCCCCTCCTCCCTAAACCAGCCTCCTTCCCTCCCCCCAGATTCTAACCCCGCCCTGATCCAGGGATTCCCCTGTAATCCATTTTCCCTGATCCAGGGATCCCCCTTCTCTACCAACCCCGCCCTGATCCAGGGGATCCCTCTGTACTTCATTCCTTCCACTCCTAAACCAGCATCCTTCCCTCTCTGCAGCGCCCCTCCCCCCAGATTTCCAACCCCACCTTGGTCTGGGGGGTCCCCTGTAATCCATCCTCCCTGATCCAGGGGTCCACCTTCTCTCCACTACAACCAATCGCCTCGTAGGCACCGACTCCATGGGTGCTCCAGCTGTTCCATGGCATATAGGAGGTGCTGAGAGGGAGAGAGAAGAGTTGGGGCAGGAAGAGATGGGGGAGAGGGGGCTTCGAGGAAAGGGTGGAGTGGAGGCGGAGCCTGCGATGGAAGGGGGGGTTGAGTGTCTCCCCCCCCGCCTCGGTAAGTTGGTGCCCGTGAACTGCCCCCCCCCCCCCCCAATACACACACCAACACTCTAATCCACTATGGTCTGGGAATCCCCTTCCCTCCAGCACACGCAACCCTGCCCTGATCTGGGGACCCCCTGTATTCCATCATCTGTGATCCAGGGATCCTCTACACTCAATTCAGCTAGATCCCCAAACCAAACATTGCCTGCCCCTTCCAAAGCAGGCATCCTACCCCATCCTTATCAAGAGTTACCCTTTACCCCCACTCCACCTAGGGAACCTTTTTCTCCTCCCCTGGATCCCCTACCTCACTCTGATTTGGGTTCCCATATATTACACGCTGGGTCAGACCAAAGGTCCATCTAGCCCAGTATCCTGTCCTCTGACTGTGGCCAGTGCCAGGTGCCCCAGGCGGAATGAATAGAACAGGTAATGATCAAGTGATCCGTCCCCTGTCACCCATTCCCAGCTTCTGGCAAACAGAGGCCAGGGACACCATCCCTGCCCATCCTGGCTAATAGCCATTGATGGACATATTCTCCATGAATTTATCTAGCTCTTTTTTGAACTTTGTTGTAGTCTTGGCCTTCACAACATCCTCTGGCAAGGAGTTCCACAGGTTGTGCGTTGTGTGGAGAAATACGTCCTCTTGTTAGTTTTAAACCTGCTGCCTGTTGATTTAATTGGGTGACCCCTGGTTCTTGTGTTATGAGAAGGAGTAAATAACACTTCCTTATTTACTTTCTTCATAGCAGCCATGATTTTATAGACCTCTATCATATCCCCCCCTTAGTCGTCTCTTTTCCAATCTGAAAAGTTCCAATCTTATTAATCTCTCCTCATACAGAAGCCATTGCATCCCCCTAATCATTTTTGTTGTCCTTTTCTGAACCTTTTCCAATTCCAATATATCTTTTGTGAGATGGGGCAACCACATCTGCATGCAGTATTCAAGATGTGGGCAAACCATGGATTTATATAGAGGCAACATGATATTTTGTGGCCTATTCTCTCTCCCTTTCCTTATGATTCCCAACATTCTGTTCTCTTTTCTGACTGCCGCTGCACATTGAGTGGATGTTTTCAGAGAACTATCCGCAGTGACTCAAAGATCTTTCTTGAGTGGTAACAGCTAATTTAGACCCCATCATTTTATATGGGATGTATTACATCACCTCCTCTCTCCCCAACCTGGGATCTGCTACTGCACCCTAAACCTGGGACACCCCACCCCCACCTCCCAAATGCAACCCATCAGCACACCCTCCCTTGTTCCTTTTGCCCGGGACATAATTCTTAATGTCTCTGCACTCTCCCCATGGATTCCAGAGTGCTCTTGCTAGAGATCCTGTCTCTTCTCCTCTTCTCTCAAAATGCACATGGAGACCATCTAGCCAAATTTCTTCCCTGTTCCTATGTACCAGACAGAACACCTCCCATCTACTTGCTCTGATTTCCTTAAGATACTCACAGCTGTCTCTGCTAGACTCTGACTAGAGGTCTCTCTTCTCTGTCATGCTGGGTGACTGCACTGCCTTCTGTCCTCCTTATGTGTATGCCCATAAGGAGCTCCCATGGAGGAGATCTGTTATCCTTCCCTCTGTACCGAGACCTTTCTATAGAGATATTTTCCACAAAGCCTTGGATCACCCCAACTCTCTTGCTCCAGCAATCCCCTTATCCCTGAAATGCTTCCAGCAGGGATCCTTGCATCCCATTGGAACCCTCCTGCAAAGCCAGGCATGTGCCACTAATGGTCCATTGAGTGAGTCTATCTGGTATCCTGCTTCCTGCAGCAGCCAGTATTGAATGTTTCAGAGGGTGGCATAACCCTCCCTTCCTAAAATACCTCTTTGTGCAATCCCATTCCACTCTGGAACGCGCACATGCATTTCCTTCCTGACCACCCCCAGCTGGTCATCTCATGCCCTCGTGCTTTAGGGCTGATCGTCCTTATGATTTTGTCCTGTACAGCTGAAATTCTTTCCTAGTACCGTCTGATTTTTCTTTCTGGAACCTTAGTGCCCAACCCAGTTGCTTATTATCAAGTGGCAATGAGTTCTACAAGTTAATGTTAAGTAATGTTAACAGCTTCTTTCCTTCTATGAGTTAAAAATCTGTTTGTTTGTTTTTTTTAAAATTCTGAGTGGGCTATTATGGGTCAGACTAGACAGAGAGAACCAAACTAGCTTTCATTGTGCCATAGTTCTGTACCGCCTTCCATTTTTCAGATCTCCCCTGTCTACACTTGATCAGGTTTGCTAGCCTCCTCTGGTCCTTTCTCTTTGCTCTTAACTGAAATGAACAAACTGACTGCAGTACCCACGCTGAGGTTGTACCAGGAATGTGTATGTTGTCACTGTTTTCTTACTGTTCTCCATCACTTCCTTAATATGCGGTGTTGTCCAGTTGTCAAAACACATTCACTGGGTTCTGTCCTTGGCTCTGAGAGCAGGGTCTAATGGGGAGAGCAGGGGAGTGGGAGTTAATACTCCTGGCTTCCATTCCTGGTTCTTCCACCCCGCCCTGCTTCACAGCTTGCTCTTTCTCCTGGCGGGGTCACTCATACTTCACAAAGGGGACTGTGATGCTTTGATGTCGGTCACATGCCTGGAGATCCTGGAAATAACAAGTTCTAGAGAAGGACCCAAGTGTGGTTCTTCCAGTTATCCAGTAACAAAGATCTCCAGGCATCTCATATACTTGGAGGCAGCACTGAGCGGAAAAGGGGTGGTGTGGGGGAGATTGGGGGTACACATTGGGGACAGTGGTGGCATCTGGGCTTGGGGCTCGGGAGAGCCAGGTTGAGTTTGTGGCTGTGTTGTAGACGCAGTGTCTTCACAGCCGGAAAGGCATGGGTTGGATAGCCAGTCCCAGTGGAGACAGGGCACAGGGAGTTTTAACCTCAGGTAGGTGGGCTCCACCCTAGGGAAGAATAAAATAAACTGTAACCAAGGATGGGGTGGGGAGGAACCCAAGAAGATAATTGCTGAATTTCAGCCCATGCGCACACAGGCCACAAAGAGGAAATGTCTCACTGCTGGGAGATCTCTTTGGATTTGTCTTTGCTGTGCAATTTGACCCCTTGAGTTGGCCTAGCTTGAGAACTGCCACGCTGCAAAATCTGCAGTTACTGCATCCATGGGGGTGCTATCCTCGCTTGTGTGAAGCGCTACGACTTCTGTGGGAGGTCGTACCCCATGGTGCTTAACTCTGCGCTAATCTGAACCCTCCCTATCAATCGTGTCGCAGTGGCTTGTGGGACAATTTGTCTGCCCGTTCCAGCCAGCTGGGCAGAATCAATGAAAACAAGGCCTTGGGGAGGTAGCGGTCCCGTGGCTTGTTCCTCTTGAAACCAGTCGGGACAAAAGGCTGAGGAATGAACCCTAGGGAACTAATGAGTATTCGGAGAGAGCTCTTCTGTCATCATCTGTGATGTGCCGAGATGGAGGGGGTGAAATTCTCACCCTCTTTTCGAGGCCTTCTGGTATCCTTGCTCTGAAGCCTTCCGAGAAGATGCTCTTTTGGTTTGTGCCAAGCACAAAGAGAACCTCCCTCATCTACAGAAGAATCCCAAGCCTGAAATCTTTCTGGTCAGCACCACCACTGTGTCGTCCTACAGAAGGCATGGGATGAAGACACGCCGAGATGCTGAGAGAGCGCTGGGAACTCTTCCTGCTGGTAGTTGATCTCAATGCTCTTGGGTATCATGAAGAAGCAAGATATCCAGATGGTGTCAAACATGGGGAAAGCAGCAGGGGACTGGCAAGGGGTCGGTGTGTAGGGTGAGAGCGGACACCGTGAGACGTTGAAACTGGTGGTGCCGGCCAGGCAGAGCGGGGGATGTTCCCTTCTTCAGAGGAAGGCACAAGAAACCCTGTAGCTAGCCCTGGCTGCTGTTGTGGGGGCTCGCCCCATCGCATCGTAGGCTGGAATGCAGTTGCGGGCAAG